TGTAAGTGACAATTTTAATCAAATTGATTCAATTCATTATTTTCTAAAGATACGCTCACAGATTTAACAATAAATGTTTTATTTTATTATATTATTTTTTATATCACAAAGGAATATATAATTATTACGCATCGTTTTCTAGTTGCTACTACGGGACGCGTACATATGTTAAACACCGTGCAATAATGACATCAGATTCCAAGTTCAGCCCTCAATTGGATGGCTTTTAAACAGGATGGTGGTTCTATGAGTATTTCAGCAGCTGGGATAAGTTACCATTGTAAATGAAAGTTATGTGTCTCTTAAAGTCTATGACAGCAAAGTCCAGCTCTAAGCTTTCCATTTTTTCTATATATACTAAATTTCATTAACAAGGCTGAACTTTTAACACTTGAACGAGAAAGGGCATGGGCGCATATGGCGCCTCCTAACAATTCCAGGCATTAGGTATTAAGGTACATTTATACACATCTTCCATATAAAACCATATAAGAAGAAAACTATGGATTTTTAGCAAATATTGACCAAATAATCAGTTCCATATACTATTTTTTAGGTTCAAGAAACGATTGTAAATTTACTTTGCTAAATGATACACAGAGAAATGCACTGTGCAGAATTCGAACAGGTCAGTTCATTACTTAGCTTCCCCCTAACCTATCTACAATAATCCATCCAACTAAATTCAAACTCATATCTCTAACAAACAAGCAAGAAAGGTGGAATCATAAATGCCATAAAAATTCATTTCATCGTTATTCCATGTCTGAAAAACAGCTTACTATAGACAATATACTATATACGTGAATATATAACACTCTATATTTAAATTCGTTTTATTAAGTCTTTTTTTACTCACGTCTTTTTAATAATGATATATTTTAATGTAATAAATGGCGCTTTAAAAATATTTGTATTTTTTTTTTTTTAAATTATAGCGTTACACGCAATAACTGGGTTCATCTATACTTCCACAATAAATAAATATAGGCAATGTGTGTGCATAGAATGAAAGCCTTAAATATAGTCATTCCTCAAACTGAATCTTAGTCTTCCCCCCACCCCACCTCTCCTTACAGATAATAAGCTGACGAGAGATTCAGACACGTACAATATCAAACTTGTATTTTTGACGTCAATCATATTCCTTCCAGTTGTTGCTGTAACCATATTTTATTACTTCTACAAGTTCAAAGGTAATATAAGACCTAATCATTTACAGTTCATTTGTGGAAAAGTATTAGTTAAAACCTACATAATTTGAAAATAAAAAAGCCAAAACGGATGCTTAAAAAAAATAGTAAGGTTGTCATAAGTAAATGATGTATGAAACCGTTAGCAGACTTGCGTGTTAATATTGATAATATTGATTACAAAGCGCATAAACTTCTGTATGTTAATGATGTCAGAGACTATATGAATTGATGATACTACATGATGACCAACCACCAAACATTTGTTTCAAGTTTAAGATATTGATTTTTTACTCTGATTTGTTTTTTTAAACAAAGGAAGAAAAAAAAATTGTGCTCCTGTTAGCAAATTGTACAATAATTTAAATTATAGGCCTATATTGCTATTACTTCTTATATATTATTTATGCATAATATTATTAAGTTTCCTTTATAAATTTGATTTGGGTATGTTTTAAGGCTGCAGTATCTCTTCACCTAAATTCGGGGAACAGTTTAAAGAAAACGAACCAAACGTAATAGTCGATAATTCAAGTTTTGTTGCATGGATGCTGCCAACACCAAAGGTAGACAACATTTTTTTTTTGGGGGGGGGGGGGCATCCCCCCCCAATGTAAATTACGTTACCGATTCTGCATTGGCGTGTACATGACCCACCAGCCAAATATAAAGCACCTTATCTGCCGAATTTTTAAAATTATTATTTTCCCCTTATTGCTGGCCTTTGAACTCTATCACACCAGAATGTATTTCAAATCCTTTCAAATGAGGCAAAAGCAGTCAGCACGGCGTGGCCCAGCAGTGTTGGAATTACCCGGGCGTTCAAGTGGCGCGTTGACATACATTTCAGTAAATTTGGGGGGGAAAGGGGCGCTCGGATTACTATGCCTGTGAGGAAGCTGGTAAAATCTGCCAAAATTTTGGTTCAAATTATATATTTGTAAATGAATTGCCCATTTGACTGTCAACGTTGAAGCATATAACAAGTCATGTATGGAGATCAGTGTCAGTAGGCCTAATCTAAGTGGAGATACATATTTTATTCAGACATATACGAAGAAAAGGGGGTTCAACTTTTACTTTTCAACAAAATTATAAGGGGTTATTAACATAAAACAAATAAGGACCTAAAGTTTGATGGAAAAAGAAAAAAATAATAACTTCTTTTTCCCCCCCTTCATTCAGTGCACGTGCAAATGCACTCAATACCTTAGATTTTAGATAATTTGACAATGTTTAAAAATTATTCAAAAGACAAAGAAATTAGGCCACTAGCAAATCATTCATTTTATTGTAAATATTTTTCACTATGTGGAACACAAAATTTCGTTATGCCCTTGAGCAATGAGATTACATAAAACCTCAGAATTAGATTATTTTTAGCAAAGACCTAACACTATTATTGCAATGTTAAGTCCTAATTTTTTTCACGTAAGAGATCTATCAGTTTATTTTAATTTCTATAAATCCCACTAAGATTCCAAGCCATTACTACCGTAATGAGGATGGTCTAATCTACGCCACACTTGAGCACTTCAAATGTATTAAAAAAACAGAAGAAAAGTATGGTCAGAAGAGAAGTTACACCGTGGAATATGCCGAAATCGATTTTCAAAAGACTCGAGATCTAATGATGTCACTACGAAATCGTGATCAAGGACACGTGTGCTAGAATCTACCTACGAATTTTAAATAGAGAAATGTTTTGTTTCAGCTTGTTCTTGTAGGCCTACCTATCAATTTATGTTGAATATTTTATTTTTAAAAATTCAGCCCTTTACCTAGAAGTTGCCATAATATCCAAGATGTTCATTATGTTATTAATATATTAATTAATATATCTCGAGGCCCTGAATTATTTTCTCCTGACCAAGAATGGTTGCCTTATCAAGTTATTATTCATTTATATAAATATAATTATAGCTAATGAGCTTACTTCATCCAACTATTTTACATATAACTGAGGATGACCAAGGAAAAGATTAAAACCTACTGCCTATAAGTTTAAGACATCAGACAAGCAGTTTAACTGTTAAAAACATTAACTAATTAAGTTTTGTATTAAAACATTGAACTAAAATCAATATAAATTTTTGTTGTACTTTGTATTCCTTGTTCATGCCTTTTTTTTTTTTATTACACCAATACAAAACAAAGATTAATTTAAATGTCTAATGCAATTAATCTCTTGTTTCTTACACCCATTTTTAAAATCTTAAAGGAAACTACGATGGTGCTGGTGTGTTGTCATTAGTAGGAGTTTGATAGCGGGCACAGAATATGAATAATGGGGTATCAGCAAAAGAGGCTCACATTTCTCATTATAATTATATTAATGCTTGTTAATGTTGAACAATTTAAAAATTGTTAGCTGCCAATTCAAGGTGTTCTTTTCTTAACAAGGATTGAGACTTTTAAAAAAATACACTGTGTATAGAGCTTTTTGTGTTAATATATAGAGGAAAATTCCTTTCTAAAACCATTTTTAAAAACAGGTGGTGAGCCAAACAAGTTTGAGAACCACTGGTGCTTATTAAGAATTCACCTGTTTGAAATGGAAATCTTAACTGACTGTGATAGTTATTAATATGGTTGTATGATCCTGATTAACTTGCTCTATGATGTGTGGTAAAAATCAGAGAAACATACTACTAGCCTCTGACCATTTTTGCATATCAGATTACTCTTGAGAACTATTCTTATACTTATTTGGATGGATCATAATCCTGATCCTCTGACACATTGTACAACAAGAAATGCATTGAAATAATGGGACTGATAATTGATTTTTTGCTGTTTTAAATTAATACTTATACACATAATAATATTTAACAAGTGTTTAAAACATTATTTTTTATTCTTTAAATACAAGTAAAGCAAAACACTGTTTTTTCTTAATTAGAAAAGTATTCAATGTCAGCAACTTTTAAAAAAAATTTTAAATATTAAAAAGTGCCTATACTATAACTATGAATGTAATTAAACAACAAAAAATTTTAAACAATCATTGCATTATAAATGCATGACAACTATAACTTGGGGATCAGGTGAAATGAAATAAGAACTCATTGCAAAATAAGGAGAAGATATTTATTGTTGAGGTTCTAAAAACAAATTTTGAAAATTATATGATAAATATATGTTTTTAAATAGAAAGTCAATCTAAAAAATTCTTTACAGCAGAGTTTTGGAAACTTTGACTTTTTAACAAAAGAAAAAAAATCCTTCGTACTTTAGAAAAAAATTATTTGACACTTAATATAATTATTTAGAAAGTATCCAGCTAGAAAAACATTACAAAGTTGATTGATTACTATGAGCAATCTTACCTCAATAACTGTTACGTTAACTTATTTGCTGAAATTTAAAGTTTCATAGGATTTGTGAATATGAAAATTGTAGGCAGTGAATACTGTTTATAATTTATGATCTGAGTTGATCTGTGATAAAAAAACTTTTTTCCCATTGCTAGAGTTTTTTCTATTCTCAAGTTTTTATTCTTTCATGTGTTGAAACTAACTCATTTTGCAGAAAGTTTTTAAATAAATTTAGCACCTGAAGCATTTTAACTTTCATAGCCCACCCTAATGTGATTGTTGTTTAATATATAATATAAGAAAAACACATTTTAATATATATGTATATATTAGTACTGAATTACTAATTTCCTGTACAGATACATGTAGAAAAGAAAAATATTTGAAATGTTAGGTTTGTCTCAAATGTGCTGTCTAAGATGCATATCTAGTTCAAATTCACTAGGAAATTCTGCATGGCAAATTTTACAATAAAAATTGCAGCAATTTTCTCCTAAGTGCTGTCTTTTGTGACTAGCTAGATGTGATTTGTAAGGGAATGCTGCAGGGCAAAAGTTACACTGGTAGGGGTTTTCTCCAGCATGGACACTTTGGTGAACAGCCAGTTTTAAATTGTTAGCGAATGATATATGACAAATGTTACAATTGTAAGGTTTTTTTAGCTTGTGCACTCTTTGGTGTCTCCTAAGACTTGTTTTGTCATAAAAGGCTGCAGAGCAAATGTTACACCTCTGGGATTTTGTTAGAGTGTGCACACTTTTGTGTACTGCCAGACTCGATTCGTTTGAGAAATCAGCAGGGCAAATTTTACACTTGTATGGTTTCTCTCCATCATTTAGGTTGCATACTTCAGCTGGTCTTTGCTGTAAAGTCTCCTTTCTCGTTTCCATTTTTGTAAATGATATAACATTTGCAGCTCCATTGTTGTTTATTTTATTGAATAATTTTGGTAAAGACCTCACTTTAGTCTGAATCTCATTATTTACTGATGCACATAAAGCCTCCTCTAAGCATGATGGAAGTATGTTCGTCTCTGTATAATTACTGCACACAATTTCCTCTTTTTTAATTGAAAACATGGAAAATTCCCTGCTGTGATTATCTATTTCTGCTACAGCACCAAACTCAGTATCTATTTCTTCCTTTAATATTTTATGATAGTCTGTATCATCAATCTCTATCTTTGGATCAATATCTTCCTCATATTTAATAAGACTTATGTCAAATTTAGTATCACAGAGTGGCTCCATGTTTTTTTAATGTTTGATACCGTAATCAAATAGTCCAATCAGGATTTACCATTAAAAATTGTTGCTCCTTTTTAAATTGAATAAAAGATGTCTAGAATGTCCACTCTCAGTCTATTAGTATCTTTTGTCAATCCTTTTGTAGGACGAACCCATTAGATATTTCTGAAAAATAAAAAGTATTTAAAATATAAATATTGCAACCATTTACTCATTGAGGTCTAGATGTATATGTGTCTGAGCTTTTTTTAAAAATTTTTGCTGAATAAATATGTTTCTTCATATTTACAGTAAGATTTCTGTATTTAGATATTCCTAAAACAAATAAAAACACTAATAATTATAATTATGTGTTTGCGTTCTAAGACAATGTATATTGTGCAGATAAATTTTGTATCAACCATGATGTAGGTCATCAAATCCTAACGAAGTTTACATTTTGTCACAAGATTTTTAACTGATGATAACATCAATACAATCTGTATAAAAATGTATAAAATTGTGTTAGTTTATTAAAAATATCTTTCTTTAAATCATGAAAGTATATGATACCCGGTACATATTTTTGTAGATATGTTTGATGGTTATAGGTACAAAAACTAATTGAGCTACAGAGCCGAAACTGTGCACTATTTTCTCTATTATCCTAGAATCATAATAGTTTAGGTCAATTTTTGTTATGATAGATGTGTATACTTAGTTTTTAGACACTACAATGTATCTGTATCGGAAACAGCATATTAATAATATTTTCTTTCATATATTTAAATCATATATAAAAAAATATTAAATTGATATAGTTTTAATTAGTAAATTATATTGAGATGGCCTACTGTTAGTAAGGTTCACTACTGTCATTAAGCCTATATTTTAGATGTTAATATAGTATAGGCATCTAGAAGTATTATTAAGTATAGGCCTATCTATTAATATTATTTTATACAAATACATTATTAGGCCTTTGTGGCTAGGCTTGATCATTTTAAAAAAAACCAGCATGGTTTATTAGTTTATATTATTATTAGGCACTCAGGTAAGCATAAGAATAATTTTTTTAAATATGCACAGAGGAGTCATAAGACTCATAAATGTCTAAAAAATACAGCCTATCCTATATCTTACTCAACAATTTTAATTAATATTTAAGTTAAATGTATTATTATGGTTAGTCTAAGTATTGGAAGGATGTTATTATTACTGTCATAAATTAAATTTGGGATTCAATGTTTAATTTTTTTAAATGTATATAGTATATTTTAGTTAAATGTGCTGTTCTATATCTTTATTATGAAGGCTGAATGCTGACTGATAGTATAGTAAAAATCGTTCTGATACTGGGATACTATTTTACTCTTTAACTTTAAAAAAAAACAAGCAAAAAAACACATATTTTAAAGACATTTGTAGTATATGATTATTACTAGTAAGCCTAAAGCTCACCACTGTCACTGACAACTACTTGATAGCCCACTTTTGACACTTCACTTCTAACAACAAAATCTCACAGTGTGACACGCTAGAGTCAGAGTACAGTCAAATCAAGAAGTTTGAAGGAGGGTACGAAGCCGTCGAAGATCCATAAAAAGAAAATATTAATATATTAAATGTAAAGTAAACGAAGCATTAATATTATATTTTCAGTAATATTATATTTACATGCTCTTTAGCACTAACCATAATACTTTAAGAACAAGTATAAGCCTTAAAAGAATTATTTGATTATGGAAGGCATTAAACGCCCATCAGCTTTAATCATGCACGTATCTCAATTTATATGCAATATGGCGGCAACTACATTCACTTTCGATATTAACTGATTAATTTTAAAAACCTTGTCTTAAAAAAATAGCGTAACAATTTAATTTACATTCACTTTACTTTAAATCTTTTACTTTTACTGTAACTATGTAGACTTTAATATTTTAACCGTACATTAATTAGAGCTATTGTTGTAGAAAACGTATTGAAAAATAAAGTTGCATTTTCTATAAACAAAAGAAAAAAATGTAAAATATCAATATTATATAATAATAATTAATTTAATTAATAGTAGGCATACAGCCTATACTTTAAAATTGCTGCAACTTTAGATACCCGGGTACATATAGCTACAAATGGCTATTCGGACCCGCAGTGGCTCTGTATAGATTAAATGGCCTCTGAGCTGGGTGTGATAACGATAATTGGTATAAGAAATTTTTTAAAATTGTTTTTTCTCCTTATGTCATAGATTCATAGTTTTATTCTTTTTAGTTGTGTTTTTTTTTTCTTATTGCAGGTAGTTGTTTTTTCTTTTTAATTTTATTTTTTTGTTTAAACCATTTTCGTAGATCAATTTTTTTTTAAAATATAGTAATCAAGATGATTTAGATACATTTATTGTTTTCATTTGAAATTTAGAAAAGTAATAATATTAATTTAATTATTAATGGACCACGTGATAGAATTTCACCAACAACAGAGAGCGACCAATGTCCAAGCGTTGGTTTATGTTTTACGTGTCATCATAATGAGCAGATCTGGGAAACGTTACGAGCGGACCAGGGATTGTGTTTCGATATGTTAACTAGAGAGTTTTGCCACCCACCACCACTAAGTTAAAAAAAAAAAAAAAAAAACCTTTTCAGCTCGCCGAAAATGCCACCCCTCATTATAATTTATTTTTAAAAAGTGCCCTGGGCGAATGCACCCCTGATATTAAGGTCCTTTGCGAGTACCACCTTTACATGGCTGTGCATGGATCCAGTGTCAGTGGGCTAGAAAGAAATATCAGACAAAGTAGATAGATTTATAAAATAAAAATAAAAAACATTTAAATCTAAATATATCCTATTGGGCAAATTTTATAACGTATCTTTGAAAACAGAAGAGTTCTACTTGTTTTCCCACAATGGCGTCGTAAATGACAAAAATCATGAAATGTACATTTTTAAAAAAAAATCTTGTACTATCTTGTTAAATGGTTATTTTATTCGAACAAAAAGACGCAATTTTAAGCATTTAGTTCCATCAGGTAAAGAGGAAGTTTTAATTTAATACCACTAGAAATAATTATTCGCGCTTAAATTTCATTGCCTTAATTTTAACACTTTTACATTCCTTGAATTTTGCATGTTTTTCATGATATTTCTAGTGACCTTAAAAAAGAGTCAATAACTTTTAGAATACTTGTCTAAAATTCATGATATTATATATCAGCTCCCCTTCCATATACGTCATAGTGAAACCTCGTCCATTTTCAAAAAGTCCCTTAAAACTCATCTGTTTAGGTCCGCCTATGACCTGTGATGCACCCTCCTTGCCCTACCTCATTTTCTGTTTCGGGTTGATCCTGAAGTGTCAAAGTGTCCTCGTTTTATAGCAATTTTCATTGTTTCTATAGAATAGTAGTTACTATCCTAGTGTCTCATTTGTATTTACTTAGTTTACATGTTTTAATAATTGTAAAGCGCTTAGAGCTTTATGATAAGCGGCTAAGCGCTATATAAAAATGCCTAAATAAATAAATAAATATATAGTATTGTGGGGAAATGCATGAGGTTTCTAAAAAATATTTGTTTTCAAACACAGTGTCAATACTTAGAAGTTGTGAAAAAAAAAGCAATTTTTTTTTAATGAAAATCTGTAAAAAAAAAATTGGTGATCACATGCAACGAAGGAAAAAAACAAACCACATAAAAGTATTTAATAAAATCTGTTTATTTAGAAAGCAAATTCATTTTCCTATATCATATTCATGATTTAAAACATTTCATGAGAATTTGACCAAAATATAAATTATTTTGTAAAATGTGTCAAAAAGGGGAAATAATTTTTTTTAAATAAAAATCACCGTCCCTTACCAAGTAGGCCTATTCACAAAAATTACAGGTTATTATTATTTTACCTTTTAAAAATTACTTCAAGATTTTTAAAAATAATAGAGATTTTAAACTTGATGGTACTGTTAGTCAGAAAGTTTCTTGTTTTTTTAACAAAGATAAATTTACCATGCGCTATATTTGATTTATAATTTTCTTTTCTTAGTTTCTTAGCATTCCTAATTTATAGCACTAGCACACTGACAATTGCTTTTAAAATCTATGCAATCAGGAATTATTGCATTTAGATTGTATTTAGTTTTACTTACATTTGCAGTACTTGGAACTGCATCACTTTCAGTAAATCATCAAATGCTAAAATAATTTCCTTGTTGAAGTCAGTTGAGAATAAAATGTTAGCTAGCTTCAGTTCATCTATATAATAGTTTTCTTTTGAACAATCCTGAAGATTTAGCTGGCATTATCAAAAAAATGGAAAAGGGGATTAGTCCAGTGCTGTTCTCTTTACTTAGCATGAAAAATTCATTTATCAACTGGTCAACACCACACAGGTCACAGGAATGAATTGTATGATTTCAAAATCTGATTTGACAATATTTGGTTTCTCTCCCCAATAATTGCCTAGAAAGACACCATCAGTTTTGGTTTTGTTAACAAAAGAAATTCCATTTGCTGTCATATCATTTAAAATAAGTGAGGCTTGTCAAATTTTCTCTCCACTGAACTTAGTATAAATTATTATCCATCACATCATATCACATTGCTTTGGATTTTATCTTTATTTACTTCTGATAAAGTCTGACAAGTTCACTTTGCACAGTTTGTCCTTATTGTCTGTTTCAATATTATCAACTTTGAAGAATGTCTTCTTTTAATAAATCTGTTTTGGGGAATACAGCATGAGCCCACAATTCATGGTAGTAGTGAAACATTGTTGCGGTTGACGAGTATTTTTGTACACTGAGGACTTGTACAGTTGACATGCACATTAGTAGTCCTAGAAATGTGTAAAAGTGATATGTTGTTGAGATATCAACAAACCACAGTTGATGGATGGTTTAGAAGGTCCCATGGTAGTTGAATAGGTGTATTTTACAAATGTTTCAACCAAATTCAGTGTGAAACA